GCTGCCGCCCGCGCCCAGCCCGGGCTCTGCTGCGCCCTGCCAGGGTGGGCCGGCGAAATGCGCCTCAGGAAATGAACGGAAACGAAACGAGATCAAAAAGTTTCGAGGCACCGTTTGACTGACAGTGCACCTATTTCGGAGCGATACGTCATACATGTTCTGTTAGCTACTTGAAATTGTGTCTTACCATAAAGGTTTTGCTTGTTTGAGAGAAACCGGGCCTCACCCAGTCTTTCCTTGGTCAGGGAGCGGCTGAGGCTGGCAGGATCTCTGGAAGGATCACCTGGTCCAGCCGCTGCTCGAGCAAGGCTGCCCAGCAACATGGCCAGCTGGGGTTTGAATACCTCCGGGGATGGAGCCTGCCTGACCGCCCTGGGCAGCCTGCTCACGTGTTTCACCACCCTCACAATGAAAATGTGTTTCCTCATGTTCAAGTGGAATTCCCTCTATTTCAGTTTGTGCCCGTTGCCTCTCATACAGTCCCAGGGAATCACTGAAAAGAACCTAGCTCTGTCTTCTTTCCCTCCCATCAGGTATTTATGCATGTGGATAAGATCCCTCCAACCCTTCTTTTCCACAGTCTGAACAGTCCCAGCTTTCTCAGCCTCTACTCGTGGTAGTCAGTCTGCTCCTGAGACACCCATACACAGGCTTTCTCTTTCAAAGTCTTACTGAGAAATAATGGAGAATGCTAATAACACCTTTGACCGTTTATCTAGTGAATAATTGCAGCCTTTTGCACAGAGTTAAACTTGACAATTTGAAATCTATTCTGTGTGAGTCTATTCCATAAATCCACCATAAAAAGATCTTTGAATGCTGTAGTTACTGTGTCTGAAGTGGCTGTTGATAGCTGACAGTCCTCTAGGACTCTAGACCTCTAGGTTGGTTGTACAACAGACTGTCATGTCTGTAGTCAGCAAATAATTACTGTTTAATAGCATCAATCTGGTTCACCCTAGAAAGGCTTGATATTTAGTAGATATCTGCTCTATAAAAACTTAAGGCAAAAGAACAGAGGAGCCGCGAGTTGTACTGCTGAGGAAAGAGGGAATGTTGATACAAAATCTCTATTTAGAAAGGATGAAATACATCCAGTTAAACACATTGTTCTTCAAGTATACCCAGCACATAACTTTAGGCCAGAATTAACAACCTGAAGCTGTATTTAACTTGCTCTATCCACAAAAGTATTGCCTTCAGTTCAGAAAACCACATGAATGATTTGTATGTTGACCAGATAACCCATGCTACTTGAATATTCATGCTATTTTGTTAAAATTGTGTTCTCCTTTACGAGTTACAAAAAAATAGAACAGAAACTGAAAGACATTCTTAAGTTTTTTCACATAATATTTTGGTCATAGTTAGGCCTTAGCCTCTTCATAGATGCAAAACTACAGGTCTGCGGGACTTCATGCTTCAGGGAAACTAGCTATAGCCAAGCAAAACTTTTCCAGGTTTCACTAGCTATTTGATGGCAGGGTCAGATGACATTGACTTCAAAATCAACACATTAAAGACATATTTGGCTTTAAGTACTACCTGTATTTCTTCCATCAGCGAATCTGTTTATCGAAAGTATAACACTGAACCTCAGCTGTACTGGTACTATTAATAGTTCATGCCCTTGCCTTTGTGGACATAACCTTGAGTAAAAGAGAAAAACAGCCACACTTGTGTCCACACGTATGATCAGGACTTGTCTTCCCCCAGCCCGCTTTTACATTTAAAATCAAAAAAGTTATACTGGACCTTATGTTTGTGATACAAAGAAGGTTGGAAAAAGGATATTTTATAAACATAACAAATACTCATGGGGCTTCTCTGGAAATAGTATTCTGCGTAGATGGCCTGAGTTATAATTAATTATATGCTTCTTCCGAAAACAAAATTTTGTGTTCCCTTGAAATTCTACATGTTAGCTTGGGGTTTTCAAATGTCTTATTTTTTTGGTTGGGATTTATTTCAAACTCGTGTCTCACAATAAAATATATTTTCCTCAGATGTACCTTTGTCTTAGTTATTTAACACTAAGGAAGCAACAAATGAGAAGAGAATAAAACACACCAAACCATAGCAAACATTTCCTCCCATATATAAACACTAGTCACATTTTAAAGGGATTTATGTTTCCTGTTCTGTTCAGTTCTGTTAACAGATTCAGGCAGTTATTGGCTGCTAGGTATATATCAAATATTTGCATTT